AGGTGGTTTGCGGGACTTTTGTATTCACACACACTTTTCAAACATGGCGCAGGCCAGCTGGGGGGGCTCCCCCCTAGCTTTTCAGGGTAGGTCACGCCACATTCAGGTCACTAAACGGTCATGTGGAGAGTGCCGCAACCTCCTCCTTGGACCCCAACAATTCAATTTCCATCCGCTTGATCATCTTCGTGGGTATTTTGTGAAAAAGGGTACAAATGATAAATGCTCCCTAAAAGTTGTCATAACAGGACTAGTTGAAACACAATGTCAACAAAATGTCAAATAAAAAAATAATAAAACACCCCAGCAAACTTTCTAACCAATCACAGAATGCCTCACACAGACCTCTGTGCCAAACAGCGTGGCCTGGGTTTGGTGTCGAGAAGGGGAATCGGATGCCTTCCTGTTACATGATGGCCCAATTTTTGTGACTCAGCTACACCACGAGAGTCGATTTTGACACTTTAGACAAAATATGGGAGAGCCTTAAGGGTTCCTGTTAGAACAATCTATGGACTTGGCCAAAAGTTAGCTGTGGTTGGTTTACCAGGTAACCTACTCGTGAATTAAATTGAGGTATCGCTCCTATTTGTAATTTGTTCTTGTCAAACTCTATCCTCCTTGTTCTAACCAGTAGATTTCCTCTACCTCCACAGTGTTTATTACTTGTTGACTGGCCTGCCATGTTTGTCTCATTTCAAACTGCTGACACAGAAATACCCACTGATTTAATTTAAACCGTTTCAGATCGTACTGCAAGGCTTTTTTTTTTCTTCTTCTTCTTCCTCATTTTGCAGTTTAAATGTATTTTGAGAAATATTAATTCTGGCTGAATCGGCACTTACCGCCCACACGACAAACACACTGACACTCACTTACCGGTCCCAAACTGATATTATGGGCTCGGGATCCCTCTCCTCCTGTTTTATTGGTAACCCACAGGGAGACTTTCAGTGCCAGCAAAGCGTGGCAGAGGGTCACTGGCTCCCACAGCGCCACAAGATTCATATTCTCGCTCCTTCCACTCAGATCCTTCGCTGTTGATCCACCTAAGGAACAAAATTTTCCACTCGGACCAAGAATAGTTTTCAGACTCCAGGCCGGTTTTCAGACTGCTTGGTTACGGTAGACTGAGTACAAACAAAGTTTCATTAGGTACAAAATGTATACATTATTTCTATTTCTTCCCTTAATGAAGAGAGTTTTAGTTGTGAGTCTTGGTGAGGAAAACTGGCAGACGGTGGGATTTAGACAGAGAAATCACAAGCTTGTACTGTAAATACAGGGAAAACAACTGCAGCATACACTAGGGATATAGGGAGATCCGTGGTCGATATAACAAATCTTACTGGACGATAAGTTGTTCCAGAAGTTTTATTGCGATAAACGATAATATTGTTGTTTTGAGACCATTTTTAGATAATATAATGGTAATGGCAAAATAATATTGCAAGAACACATTCTAAACGATCAATAAACTTTAAATTCTATTGAACATTTAACACTGGAACTGGAAGACATTTTAAATAATAAAAATAAAATACATTTTGACATTTTTGTAAACAAATTCTTCTTTTAAAAAAGGCCTAGTTGAGACCAAATCACCAAACTGAAGGCTTTTATCCTCCAGCTTTTGGTAGAAAGGAAAAATAAAACAACAAAAAGAGATAAGCGATAAATCAGGCCAAAGGAAATTATTGATCTTGTTTAAATTTATCATGTGATAAATTGATTTTTCAATTATTGTGACATACTGCATTATCTTTGTCAATTTAGCCTGCTACCAAACGCAAATGCTATAAAGGAGGCTGAAAATGATGCAGCACTTTCAACTTGCATTGTGTTAAATGTCAAATTTATTCATGACATTTGCTCTCTCTAAGACAATGGCAACAGCAAACAAAACAGTGCAAATTTGAAGTGGTGCTGTGCTGCAAGCATCACTGTCACTGGTTTATCATGTCAAAACAACAGCTTTTATATTGGTTAGATGTTTTGACGGAATGACCGATGTCCGGTTTTAAATTTCACAGCTAACATCGGCCGATAGTGATACCACGTTGATAGTATCATCCATCCCCAGAGAAGACTTCAAACAACCGAGGATATGGCGATGCTCTGTGAACCTGAAAGTTATTTGTGTGAATTTCTGTAGATCAGCAAATTCTGCGATACCTTCCCATCTGACCCCAGCAACCGTTTCAAGTTGAAACTCTCTTGAATCTGCTTTCTTCCTCATCCTGATGTTTAGTCTGAGCTTCAGGAAGTCTTCTTCATCAAGACTAAATGGCAGCATGAATTGAGTTGCTGTCATAAACTGATTGTTTAAGAAGAAATTGAACTAACACATTTGATAAAGTGGCCGTTGACTGTATCTGGAGATGTATAGGGTAACATTTTTCTCGCAAGCAAAGCTCTAAAAGCATTAAGAGAGTTTGGCCATTGTAGAAGTGATGCATTGCTTAACAGACTCATGCTTTAAATCTCCATGAACTTCCTGAAATAAACATGCCCTGATGCACGGGAGTCTTGCTGCTCCCGATATTGCGTTTTGCAGTCTGGCACAGCAGCGACTCAGTTGAAATTTATCCCTGGAGTGATGACACGAGATGTCGTCCAAACCCTCCAGTGTGTTTGTGCAGCTACCTGGTTTTGGAGTGGGGGAGTCGGTAAACAGGTAAAATGCTACAAATAGAATCTATAGCCACTTAAGAATACAGTCTGGAGGGAGGGCGCCCTGTTCCCCGGCCTGCGTCAGCACTGACCTTTTTGCTGTTTGCTAAAGGGATTTGATTTCACCTCCACCTCGCTCCTTTTTACTTTTTCTTTTTTTCTTAGATTCACTCTAAAGCTGCATGAGGAGGATAAAATGGCAGTTTTGTCCAGGAATGAGAAGTTGTAGTATTTCAGTCGTGGGCCAAGTGATAAAACGCTAATGAGGTGGAGGAATGTTTGGCATTTTTCAGCAAAGATATATGAACTTCTGCTGCTTTCGAAACACATTGTTAGACGGCACACATTCTTGCATTTTGAGCTAAAACTGTTTCTACTCTGGAGAGATGACAGGTATTCTTGAAAGCACAACAAAGGAAGTGAAGTACTTTCTTACTAATTACCTTCTGATTTAAGCAAAGCTCATTTGGATTCATTCTTCTACCCTTTGATTCTAGGTTTTTAAAATCCTTTGCTGTAAATTTGCCATTTATCTGGCATCTGTTCGGTTTCTGGCGTCTTAATTTAAGCAAGTTTGGCTGCTGTAGATCGACAGCTCCATCTGCTGTTGATATCTGGGCAGTTCTTTGACTGACCTTAAAGATTGATGATATATACAAATATGAAAAAACTACACATTGGAGACTGTTTTCACAAAAACCTACAGAAAAGTGAAAAATGGCAGGAGTTTTGACTGTGTAAAACAACTAAATGAAGTCACTTGTAACCATGTAGTTCCTGTTGAAAATGTGAACCTTTTGCTGAAGTTCCTCATACCATCACAAAGCTCCATTGTGTTCAGATATTTGAGGCAATCGGTTGTCATTTTTTCAGTTGACAGACATTTCGTCTGTAGGCTACGTAAACTATATTACATAAAATTAAACTCAGGCAAGCCGAGATGGAATCCCCATAAATCTAATATTTTGCATAATAAATGAATTCACAATGAATTAGACAATTCTTTGTTGTGAATTGTGTATGGGTAACTAAGGTCTCTCAGGTGTGCAGCAGCTTCAAGAGTTTTGTGGTGAACAATTTCCCCAGCAGACTTAACCAACAGTAACACCGCATGGAAACACCGAAGTAGCTCGAACTAGCTTTAGGCCATGTTGACATTTTCAACAAGCTCCTGGTGAGATGGCATCTTTCTAAATAAGGTAAGTGAACTACTACTAGTAACTTGGAACCTTTCCTCTAGGCTCCACACACATCTGCTGCAATATTGCGGAATTATGGTTTTCTGTCGAATTGCAATGGAAAGAATGTCCAATTCATTATGTAAATTAATACAAGCATACAATAAAAAAAAAGCCTTACCAAGTATTTTTGTCAAGTTTCTAGTGGAAATATCTTAGTTTTGTCTCATTTCAAACTTTCTAACTTACAAATAACTTTTCAGCAAGACATAGAAACTTATTTTAAGTAAATAATTCCTTAATATTGATGAAAAAGTACTACATCCAGTGGGAGATTATTTGACTTATTTTGTGGGGGAAATGCCTAGTTATAAGTGAAAATATGTCAGTAGAACTGGCACTTTTTCATCAGTATCAAGAAATTGACTTAAAACAATTGCCTGTTTCTTGCAGAAAAGGTATTTGTAAGGTTGTTCTGTCGTATTTCAAGTCTTCTAAGATATTTCCACTAGAAACTTGACAAAAAAAAAAAAAGACTTGGTTAGAATTAGATTTTTTTGCTGTGTGTGATAAATAATATTAAATTAATCTTCCAAGGAGTTCAAGTAGTCAAAAGATTAAAATGAACTCCAAAGAAATAAAGGAGATGTGGCAACTAAACACTGTTTTGAACAATAACAACAAAAAATATTCTTTTATTGGATGTTTTTGAAGAACACATTACAAAAAACAAAAACAAAAAAAAAATCCAAATGAGGATTTTTTTTTTTCCGGAGTGGAAAGTACAAGCTTTGTTATTGTAGATCAAGATCACTTTTTAATGCCCGCGTTGCTCTAAATAACCCTGGAAGGACGTGTCCAGCAGGCACCAGCACGACGAAACATGCAAGCTGCAGGAAACAGTGCCACTCCAGAGATCAGTCTCACAGAGTCAAAATCCTTCATGTTTCCGATTGTCCATTGTTCCTCAAGCTCATTCTCCCTCCATTGAAATCTACACCGGCGGTATTAATGCAAAGGAAAGTTCTTCCCAAGGTGTTTCCTTTAAGGCTATATAGTTGTGCATGGGCATGAGAAAGTCTCTCTACGGTGAACAGTAGCACTTCACTGTTTCCCAGAATGCACTGTGGAAAAGTTAACACCCATTTTTTTTTCTTTTTCAACAGGAGAGAAGCCAAGAAGAAATTCGTCAGTCCGAAGGTAGAGGGAAGAACTTAAGAAGCAAAGCATCTGGACTGGAGAAGCTATTTTTTTTTTCACTTGTATTTTTCTCTCTGAGAGGGATTTCTGTCACTCTTCTGTCAACTGTTGACTTGTTTGGCTCTCGTACAGACAGTGGAGTCAGATTCGGTAGTTTTTGGTTTTCCAAAGGTGCGAAAGAGAGAGAGAGAGAGAGAGAGAGAGAGGGAGGAGCTCCTGTGCTCTGCATGTCAGGACTCTGTTCAAATGGTAAATAGATGGTCACATGGGGCAATCTTAGGTCTTCAGGGAGTGGGGGGGAGAAAAGGGAGGGAAAACAACAAGGAGTGACGATACAGTGGAGGACTTTGGTCTGTCTGATGGGCAGGAAGCAGGACTCTCGCCCCCTAGCTTAGAGGACGTTTCCAAATAGAAAATTTTGTAATATTTGCCATGTTGTGGTGACACTGAAGATTTAACACTTTTCATCAGCCCCCTCCCCCGAAAGGGTTCTGGACTCTCTTTGGAAATTATCCTTTGTGGCAGAGGCCACTTCCATCAAGCCTCTGCCCACTTTCTTTCTTTCTTTCTTTCTTCATTTTTTGACACCTGACTGAGGAACCAAGATGCCCACAAACTTCACTGTGGTAAAAGTTGAGGACATGGGGGATGGCAGCAGCAGTGGAGCTGCGGCTGGAGAAGGCAGACCGATCAGTCTGGACAGAGTCTTCCAGGAAGAGGGGGATGTTAGCAATTCCCAGGAACCCGAACCAGGTAAGACGGCATGTCTGCTTGGTGCTAAACTAAACTAAAGGAGGGTTCTGCTGAAACAGAGGAGTGTTCCCTCCCAGGAGGCGCCGAGATAAGAAAAGACAAAGTGTGCACGTATGATAAAGTTAGAGAGTGATTCTGTGAGTAAGGATATAGAGACGGAAAACCTCCGACATCGGCGAACACAAGCCGTAACATGCACATGCTTTATACACGGAGGACAGGAGTTTAAAGAGCTCAACCAGCTGGAACTTGCACTGAGCTTGAATGATGTGGCTGGGCGGAGGGCCCATGTGTTGTCTGGTTATTGCAGTCCTAAGTGATTGTTTTAGCTTCATCACAAGCTTCAACTACTATGAAAGAAGTTTCATCAGCAGTTTTCATAAAACTTGCTTAACCCACATAGATTTTTTTTTTTCCTATTCATGAGCTCCAAATGCTTTTCCTGTAAAACAGAGTTTGCTACAAAATTTCCTGACTTGTAAACAAATCCTCTGACAAAAGCCGAAATGATTAGATCCCCAGAGAATGTATCCCAGCTTGGGGAACATTAGGAGCATGAGAACATGTATTGTTTACAGGTTTCATACCCCTTGAGCGTTTTACGTTTTGTCACAAACCATGAATTTCAATGTATTTATTGGGATTTTTATAGGCCAACACAATGCAGCGCAAGGAAAATTGTGCGTTCTGCTTTCAAATATAAATATGAAAAGTCTAGCCTGCATTGCTTTTGCTTTCATCCCCCTTTACACTGACAACCATAAATGAAATCTGTTGCAAGCAAATGCATTCAAGAGTCCGGCTGTGTAAATACATCTGGAGATCTAGTAGAGACGTTTAAAGCAGTATTACCAGTCAGTGGAGGTCAGACTGAATTGTTCTCTACTCATTGTTTTATGTTCAATAGGCCGACTAGCTTGCTTGGCAGCTCCTCTGTCACTTGTGTCCATGTTTCAGGGTGTGTACGAATCAGCAAAATACTATTGGACACAATTTAAATTTTTATTTTTTATTTTTTATTAATTTCGAACATATAGACAGAAGTATAAAACCACACACATGAACATGGAACGCAAAAGACATTTTTGTATAGTAATCTTAACATGCTCAAAAAGGAGCAGGAAGAAGGAAAAAAATAGGAACATGACAATTAATTTTCCATCTTATCTGGGTTTACATGTCTAATACATCCATTCCCACACACACTCGTATGCGTTAGTCTCAATTTACACATTTGTGCTAACTCTCACCCATATTTCTATGGTTTGTGAAAATGACCTCCTTATATTTCCTTTTAAATTAAAGGATATATGATGACAAAAAAACTATATCTGGACCCCAAATAATAATAATTACCACAAAAACTGTGGCTTGGGCTGCACAGTGGTGCAGTAGGTAGAGCTATTGCCTTGCAGCAAGAAGGTTCTGGGTTCAATTCCCGGCCATGGGAGTTTGCATGTTCTCCCTGTGCATGCGTGGGTACTCTGGTTTCCTCCCACAATCCAAAAACATGACTGTCAGGTTAATTGGCCTCTCCAAATTGTCCCTAGGTGTGGATGGTTGTGTGTCCTGTCTGTCTCTGTGTTGCCCTGCGACAGACTGGCGACCTCTCCAGGGTGACCCCCCCTCTCGCCCGGAACGTTAGCTGGAGATGGACACCAGCACCCCTCCCGACCCCACTAATGGACAAGGGTGTCAAGAAAATGGATGGATGGATGGAAAACTGTGGCTCTGTTTTGTTCTGTATTATGTTGACTGAAAACAAAAGACCAACATTGTTTTCTTGCTCCACCTGTTTCATCAGCTGATGAATGCAATTTTCTAAGTCAATTTTCTAAAAAAAAAAAAAACATTAGAAATTGCAATATACAGAGTAGAATTACAGTAGAACAAAGTAATCAATCTTTTGTCATCAAGCAAAAATATGCACTAATACATAAAAAAAACATTCTAAACAAAACAGACTGAGTTAGTTGTGATTTTAAACACTCAAATTCTCAAGTGGAATTATATATAAAAAAAACTATTATATGCTTGTAATCTAAATTTCATCATGAAATCAGAGAATCATAACACTATTGTTTTTTTGTTTCTTTTTAATCAAAAAAATAATAATAAAAAGAAGGATAATGTAGAATCTGGTCCAACCAAAATCTAGTGATTTTCCTGATTCGTAGGAGCTTCTTGCTTTCTTCTGCATGCCATGCTGGGAGGGGAGGAAGTCTCAGCCTGGGCAGAAATATTCACACCCTCAGACACCAAGGCCAAGTGCTGATTAGGCAAGATGCTAACTGTATAAACACCATCTCAGCACCATCATTTTCTAACAGGGTACTGCTTTAGATCAGGTTTCGTTCCGACCCACTTTCTGCCTGTTCTGCCGACTGACTGGAAATTGATGCAATGTTTAGAGAGGATTTGTTCTCTTAAGTCTGTTTACATAAACTCCAAAGCTTAGTCTAAAGAGAGAGGAAAAAAAATCAGGATGTCAATGAGGATTTTAGACTTATTAAACCTCCCCACTCATGGAATGTGCCAAGTACTGTGAAAAAAATTTATTTGATTACGGTTCAGACGGTTATGATGAACTCATAGCTCAGTTATTGATATGATATGTCGATAGCCTCTCCGCCCCCGCCTCCTCTCTGCCATTCCTTTGCTACATTCATACTTTCGCCTGTGTGACTCCAGCATACTTCACATCATAGTTCCACAATAAACACACAGCCACAAACTCCTACGGTTATTTTTTCTCCTTCCATTTAATTCGATGCAATTTGCTGACATTAGAAAATTAATCTGTTCGTCCCTTACTGGAGTTTTATCAAACTTTTTTTTTTTTTTTTAAACATTTGAAATTTAACGTTTGTAAGTTTTGTACATTTAAATGACTTCTGGTTTACTGATCTACTAATTCAGTCATTCAATTTTCTGGAAGCGAAATACGAAAGGAGAAGCCGGTATAGAGGATTCTGCATCCAAGGATCGTTAAAATACTAAACGATGGACTTTAAGGGAATCCTGCATCGTACATGGACTTGATGAATTGATTGTATAAATAACCTGCAGTTGATCATGTGGAAATATTAACATATAGTGACTATAATTGACATTGTTTTAAATGATTTGCTATGTATGTTAAATAAGTTATGTGAAAGTATTTAAGAGTTTTTGTATAAACCTAGAGGTGATTTGGCCCGTGTACTTTGAGTTCTTTTTAGTTTCCAAATTGTATACCCAATAACTTTTTAGCTTTTTTTTTCTTAAAGTCTCTTTAAGGTAAGATTAGATGCCTAATACTAAACATAGAGCATCATTTTCTAAATGCATAAATATTTAGAAATTATTTCTAAATGCATATGTTATGTAACAGACACCTGAAGTAAACATGCTGCTTATTATAAAGGAAAGAAGATGCAACAAGGACATTGTAGTATTGGAAAACATATTTATGGAAGATAACAAAAGAGCTTCACTGTATAGAAATCTCAGTGCACACAAAAAAATCACCTGGTGAGAATTTCAGACCTGAGAAATCACCTAGAAACTTTAATCCAGGATAAAACGGTATGGACAAAATAAAAGTTGCAGAAAAATGCACAAAGCACAGTAATATCTGACCAGACTAGAGTAAAAAAATAATAATAATAAAAAAAAAAACAGTTGTTACACTCAATTTGTCTGAAAGTGCATCCAGCAGTGTCTCTCAGAAATCAGCAGGCCGTGTGTGCACACTGCTCAGTTTTCATTGATTTTCTTTTAGCTCTTCACTGTAATGAAGAGCTGCATTGTCTGAAGAAGAACTGGTGACTGTGTCACCCAGATAATTGACCAAATTGAACAGTATGAGACAAAAGACAAAAGATGGAGGCAAAAAGGAAACCGGTCAGGCTGTAGCTGTGCTGTTTCAAAGAAAACTGGTGCCAGAAGCTCTTCAAATAGTCACACACCATGTAATTGCAAATTACTGACACTCAGATCCATTAAAAGCAGCGTTTAAAATTGCTTTTGAACTGGTATTTTAGACTGTCACGGATACAGATCAATGTTAACCTTTTCTATCACCCAGGATACTAAAAACATGACAATTTAAAACAGTTTGGTTGTTTTTTGTCTTTGAAATGTCACTTTAGGTTTAGGGGTTGCTTCTTTTTAGTTTGTCAGCGTCTCATGTTGTTTTTTTTTTTTCCTTTTCTTTTGAATGTTTCCAATAGATGATGAAAATCACAAAGAGTCCACTCCATTCATTAACTCAAACAATAACGAGGACTGCAGCTATGAAGGCAAAAACATGGCCCTGTATGAGGTAACTGATGCTCTCACGTTTGATTTCTCTGAGGTTTCATTTGTTTCAGCTTTACGGTCACACATTGATCTGTTTGCCTTCAGGAGGAAATGGACAGCACCCCCATGGTAGCGTCTCTTCTCAACAAGTTGGCCAACTACACCAACCTCACCCAGGGCGTCCGTGAGCACGAGGAGGCCGAAGATGGGGTCAGGAGGGTCGCGGTCATGGTACGGAGATTCCGCCTTGGTACCGAGAAGTTTCCGTCGTTAAACCGAACGAGTTGCTAAACCAGTAAAGTCACATTCAGATTACAGTGGACCTGGTCATACCCAACCACATAAACATGGAACCTTGCTTCTGAGAATAGCATCTTACCGTCCGTTTCTTTCTGGAGTAGACTTTGATCTCGCTTCATTACAACACAGAACCATAACCAAAATGAACTCATGGATTTGTGCTGAAGGAACGAGGTGTGTTCTTTTATGGTAACCTTTCACTTCATAAGACTTGTCATAAACACATTGCCAAAAGGTTATATTTTACTTGTTGGAGTACAAAAGTCATCCTCCTGTCCTGAGCTATTTTTGTCTTGGGAGTGTTTGGGAGCATTGACTAATTTTATTTTAATTTTTTTTTTTAGATAGTTTGGACTTAAGAAGCTGCTCCTGTGAGAAAACACAAAAAAAGCTTAAAGATGTCAAACCAAGGCTATTGCTGTGATAAAGAGAGAAGACAGACGTGTTAAAAGATGGGCTTGGAGGAAATGTGCCATGACCCTCGAATACCTTGTAGTTAATGGATAAACGTCCTTCAGAACAGAGCAAAGTTGGCTGCACTGCATAAAGACAAATGGTTCTACTTCAGAGATTTTTCCCTTGATTTAAAGTTTATCGATCCTTGTACTCTTGCTCTACTTTGGGATTTGAAAACAGTTTCTTCTGCTATTATTATTCACACTCTCACGGCAAACCTGCTGGAATTAAATGCTAAAACTCAGACCAGGGAACGTCCACTGAGCGCATATTTACTTATCAGACTTAATGTCTACCTGTTAGCCGATACGCAACGTTTACAAATACAGTAATCGGTCTTCCAGTAAAGTATAGTTTACAGCGAGTTTAGCTGACCTTTTTAATGACTACCTTAAGGGCCAGGAACAGTTTTCCAAATAGCTTCACAAAATGTTAGAATTTTAATGTTTCAATGGTGCGTATATGAACGCTGCTGTCACAACTCCCCAAGAAATGACTTGCTACATCTGGAACAAAGGTAGTCTGTTCAGCAGCGTGTCGAACAGAGAACATTGGGAATTTTCGATAAAAGCAGATCCTCCAACTTTGAACTCTTGGTCTGTTAAGAGACGCTGATTGTGTGTTCATCAAGACCCGCCCCCTCAATGATATCTTAGAGCACTCGGAGGAGATCTAAAGCTCAAGCCCAGCAGGAGTAAGAAGGACGATGCAGAGAGGTTAGAGGGGAAGGAAGGACAAAGCGGGAGGCAAATGCAGGGCAACTTGCGGGAGAAGATGTGGGAAATGTGGAAGTACACCTCCACAAAAGGTTATCATTTAGAGAAGCAGCTGTGTGCAGTAGAGAAGGCACAGGTCAAGGAGTTTGTGAGTCAGAAGATGGTACGTATGTTTTGGTCTTTGGGGAAAGTGACAGTGAAGGTACGACGATATTTGATCCACCAGTTGTTTCTTGGAGATTATAAACAACATTTTTCCAGCGTTTTCTGGATGGTGATCCTACATTTCTGTTTGGGTGCTGAGGTTACTGTTTTAAGGTTTTATGTTGTTCAATCAGTAAGTAAGTTGATTTCGGAGGTGCCATTTTAAAAAGGGTGTTGAATATAATTTCAGATGTACAGCGTGTTAAAAAGTTTAAGGCTTATTTTTACTTTTTCTCTCTTTTTTTTCTCTTGGAAAAAACATTGTAAGCACCTAACGCACATTTAAAAAAAACAAAAACATCCATTATAGCCTTAAATGTATTTGTTAAATCAAACAATGGATTTTAACTTTTCTTTAGAAGCAGCCTCACAACTATTCACACTTAAAAGCAAAATGTGTGAGGATAAATTATAATTCTTCTATATCTTTATCATCTAAATGTAAATTGTTGTATTTTAGAGGAGTGGAAAATACAGGCGTTGTTATATTCCTAAGTCATCATCTCTTGTGCTTTGGTTCATATGATGAGAAGGAAACGTTTGGCTTACATCTAAGGATGCAGCTTGCATGGCAGCTGTTTCCTGCAGACACTCTGCATACCCAACCCCTCTTTGCTATGCAGTGAAGAAAAGCAGCTTATGCAGTGCAGCATTAAAAGACTACAATGCTTATTATAAAGAGTGGTAAAATATTGGGGTTAGGCATTACTTGGAGCTGAAATAAACTCACCAGCCCCTTGATTCGGTCCACTTATTCTACTGCTTGCTGCAACAAATAATAAATAATGAATCAGCCAATAGCAACTCAATGCATTAAGGCATGTAGATGCAACAAAGCATCAGCATGGGGAAGAAATTGATGACTTTGTTGGTCTGAGTACTTCAGAAAGTGACAGTCTGCTGTGCTTCCATCCATGCCTGACCTTTCATGACCAGAATTCGCCCATATTTTGTTTAAAGCTTCGACAAGCAGATGACAAGAGTATGAAAATAGGTTCACTGTACTCTGATAGCCTCTGTCGTCACCAGATTTCTATCCATTAATGAAGAATCTTAATGAATCTGAGTTACAACGTTGCATTTCCCTATGGGATCAATAAAGTATTTTTGAATTTGAATAGAGCACCATTCACATTTGTATCCTTGTGATGGCGTCATGTCAGTACCACGCAAAACGCTCCCAAATCAACAAACCAATACCATGGAGAATTATGGTAATTTAGGAGCCAAACGAGGATCTGTCCCTAATGAAGGGACCAGATTGGTATTTTTAGTGCAATTGTGACGTTTGACGTTTTGTTTGTGTGTGTTTCTGTCTCCAGGTTCCTCAGATGGGCACTTTCATTGGGGTCTATCTGCCCTGCATGCAGAACATTTTAGGTGTCATCCTCTTCCTCCGCCTGACCTGGATCGTGGGCACAGCAGGGATCCTAGAATCGTTAGCCATTGTTTCCATGTGCTGCGTCTGTGTGAGTTTTCCAGAATCCTTTCAGCGGTGCCCCGCTTGCATCATTCCACAAAGTCCCACTCATTAACCATTACTTATATGAGTCCAAGCCTAATGTACGCTGAAGCGTAGAAGTGAGCGCCTGTCTTGAGTTCACGGCTGGGCTCAGAAGAATTCCTCGCAAAGAGAACAGAAAGTTTGTGTTTCTTAAAGTCCCGTACGCCAGCAGCTGCAGACGGCCAAACAGAGCACCGAGTGTTTGACAGGTCTGAAATAAACTTGAGCAGGACTCGTGATGTAATCCAACCCCACGCTTCTAATGTTTCCTTAAATCAATGGAGCCGGTCTGGGAACATCAAGGATATTCACTAAGCTGTAAAGCATGGGGTAATTTACACGTCTTTGATGTGACCACATTTTAAAAGTAATAATATGTATAAAACTTCCAAAGAGGGGGGTAAGGGGGATGTTTTCTAAAACTAAAGAAACACTAAATTACCCCACATGTTTTATTTTTATTTCTATTGCAACTTTTATACCATTCTTAATTATGGTCTGAGGATGGGATTAAAAACTTCAGTTCACGCAAAAGGAGAATTTGGAGTTCTTAGACCAAGTTTTTAAAAGATTAATATTAAAGAGACATATATGTTTGTCACCAGGTTTAGCTCTACTGACCCATGCAGTCACTTTATATGTATAACCCTACAACAGATTTTGCTGGATAATAAATTGTGTTGTTTTGAGATCATTTTTAAGTATTACATTGATGATGTCACAAGTTTGCCTTCTCAAAGACCATTACATTTTAATTTGTAAAGAACACAACACTGGAACTGGAAGATATTTTAAACACAAACCCCACAATAACAAAAAGACTAAAACTCAAACCGAAGTTAAAAAAAAAACAACCCACACACAGCTTAAATCAATTTATTCATCATGCGATCAATTGATTGATTAATTGCTTAATGCGACTATGTATTGATGAAAGCAGGTTTTTTACAGTTACAACTTGCCACTGCAATTATAGAAAAATGTCAGCTCTGGAAACACGTTAGTGAAGCTCATCTTATCTTCTTATCAGCATCAACATTACTCTTAGTTTAAATCTTTAGATGTTTTTGTCAAATTTCTGCTCTGCATTTGGTGGTAAAATGTTTGACCTTGAGTTCATTTTTTGTTTCGTTTGCATCTAAACGTCCGTCTTCTTTCTGTCTTTCAGACTTTACTCACCGCCATATCAATGAGTGCCATAGCAACCAATGGAGTTGTTCCAGGTAGATTAAATTCACGTCTTTTTCAAACATTTGGTATCATATCATTTTCGCCGTGATCTATTTCTGCTAAACTGAAAATGACTATTTACATTTGTAGCTTTTGGAATACGTAAGGATAATATAAATCTTGAAGTATATAAAAAAAAAAACACTGCAAATACATGATGCTTAAATCACATCAGCAAAATATTTGTTGTAGCAGTCACTGAAATGATTCAAATATAGTAATTTGAGATATGCTAGATAATGAATTAGGTTGATATTTTTAAAATATTTCTATCTGGGGATGTTTCTTTCTGGGCAGCTGATGGGATACAATGAAACATCCTGTGTTAATTGATTCGGCTATTTAATCATATGTTTTTTTATTAACATTCTTAAAATCACTGAATTAAAAGAATCTGTCTTGTCTCTATGAATATTTATTTGAAGCCTAAATTCTTTCACTTTAGTTGGATACTTTACAGAACTGAAATTGGAAAACTGGAGCTATTCTCTACCAGAATCAATAACTAATCGATTAATAATTAGATTGACGCATTTTATTTGAGAAATGAAGTTGAGAGGAAAAAGTTACATCACTTATCAAACATGAAGAAAGCAAATATAACTGAGAAAGCAGGTCTGCAATATCAGCTGATCAATCTGTTTCTCTTGATCAATTCTAATCACCTTTCCAAGCTTTAAAAGAAAGTCTTGTAGAACTAAATGAAGCACAGTTCATCATTCTGTGACTCTTGAGTTAGCATTAGCTAGCACACATGCGCACACACACACACACACGCCATCAGGCACTGATCATGAAAACGTGTCTGTGACATTTGGTCCAATCAAAGGAGCATTTTTTAATAATTCCATCTCCATCGTCTTTTTTTGACCAATATCGTTAACACAACTGTGAATTTCGTCTCTTTGTAGCTGGCGGCTCGTACTACATGATCTCCAGGTCGTTGGGACCAGAATTCGGAGGAGCAGTGGGTCTTTGTTTCTACTTGGGAACCACCTTCGCTGGATCACTGTACATACTGGGCACCATAGAGATCCTGCTGGTAGATCCGCCCTCAGTAGCAGCTTCGCCTGCCGTCATCAGCTGCGGTTTTGTGATTCGTTGACTCTGCTTTTTGTTTCTTTTCGTCTGCTCCCAGATGTACATCGTTCCTTTCAATACGATGAAAGTATTAGACGAAAATGACATGCGTCTCTACGGGACGTGCTGCCTCCTCCTGATGGCTCTGGTCGTGTTTGTTGGGGTGAAGTGAGTGTCCCCAGTGACAAAGGCACGGAAACTATCATCCATTTTCACCACCTGTTCTTTTCCGTCTGCAGATATGTGAACAAACTGGCTTTAGTGTTTCTTTCCTGCGTGGCTCTCTCCATCATGGCCACATACGCGGGAGCCGCCAAGACATTAATCGAGCCGCCAGCGTTTAAGTGAGTGTCCCAAAGAACATTCGTGACTTGTGTGCTGTTGTGAGAATACCGTCACTGACCAAATGTGAGCTTATTTGAAGCAGTTTTAACCGGTGTGTTTTACTGGTGCTCGCAAAAATGTCGCCACTGATTATTTGCAAGACAAATGCAAGAAACCAGTAACAGATACTATTGTCTGGATTTTTATTTACATATAAAGTCTGATTCTGACTCTGGGAAAGATATTTAATATGACTTAACCAAGAGCTTATGCTCCTGAGCTTCAGTAACAAACTGTATCCAAGCATGTTATGGTTTCAAACACTATAGCAAATGCCTTACTAAACATTCGTACAGCGCTGATGGCACTGTGTGTGTAAAAGATTAAAGGAGATATAAATCATTGCAAGTGCAATAAAACATGTGCCAACGTCAGTTATCACTAAATGGCATTTATTGAGATTGTGCTGCTCCTAAAACCCTTGAAAGCCAGCGTTTTATTAAAAACTGACTTAACGTAGGAAGGATACTGTCATCAGGGACCCGGGCTCCATCAGCCGCACTGCAATCTGCCGTTTTTTCTCTGCAGCGTCTGTATGTTGGGGAATCGCTCTCTGAAGAACGAAAAGTTTGACAAGTGCGAAAAGACGGAACTGGTGACGAGCCTTTTCTGCGACCTCAACTCCACCTGCGATTTCTTCGAAGCCAACAACATGAGTGAAATCGTGGCCATCCCTGGGCTCCTGAGTGACGTCATCAAAGGTGAGAGAGGGAGAGAATAAAAAAATATTATCTAATCTGATCATCAATACCAAATAATAAGTCTTTATTATTATCAGCTGGAGTTTTCATTGCAGCCTTCTCTTTGCTTTCTCATTAGAAAACTTGTGGAGCAACTATGATGACGCCAACGTGATCATACAGAAGAAAACCTCCCCCAGAACGCCTAAAGTCAAAGCTGGAAGCACAGATCAGTTTTATGTCATCAATGACATCACCACATACTTCACATTGCTAGTTGGGATATACTTCCCTTCTGTCACAGGTATCAGCTCAGCTGCCAAAAAGGATAATTAATAAGGGAAAGACATTATCTTGAATTTAGAGTCTTTCAAATTGACTTTCGTCTGATACATTTATCATGTCTTCCTTTTAGGGATCATGGCCGGCTCAAACCGATCCGGTGATCTTAGAGACGCTCAGAGATCCATCCCAGTGGGAACGATTTTGGCAATTCTCACCACTTCTTTCCTCTGTATCCTCCATTTGTGTTCCTGCGACTGATGTTGCTGGACTGCTTTTGACTTTGCTGTGGTTCTCATTCATCCCGTGGAGCACAGATGTCAGACGCCGGACAGTGACCGTTTCTTAACGTCGTCATCAGATATCTCCTTTGTCTTTTTGTTTGGAGCCTGCATCGAAGGAGTGGTGCTGAGAGACAAGTAAGACCACGTTCAGATAACGCTTATCGTACTGTGCAGAAAAAGGAAAAAAATGGAGTGAACTACAGCATTTATTTGTTGCTTTTTGTAGATGTGAAAAGGGAAAAATGACTGTACAAAGCAGCATTTGTTATAGTTTGGTTGCCATGCTAAAATCCAGCTGCGCTATTAGAAAATATGAAGACCAGGCAAACCTAAAACGTTTGTTCTGGCTTCTTCCAGGTTTGGTTTCTCAGTGAAAACGATGCCAGTGATTGGTGTTCTCGCCTGGCCGTCCCCATGGGTGATTGTGATTGGCTCGTTTTTCTCTTGCTGCGGCGCGGGGCTGCAGAGCTTGACTGGCGCCCCCCGTCTGCTGCAGGCCATCGCCCGTGACGGCATCATCCCTTTCCTACAGGTAGGTGATGCATGAGTTTTACTTGGAGAGATTATGATTCTCATAAAGTAACCTTTATGAGGTGAGAGGGAGAGAATAAAAAAATATTATCTAATCTGGTAGATTAACAAGTTTTCCACCTAGCAGGATTTTCATAGCTGAACCGTAACCCTGTCTTCATTTATTTATTTTTTAAATTTATTTTACATAATTGATTCTACACTATACATTGCTGACCAACCAAATTCTCACAGATTTCTTAGGAAAGTCCTGATGCCGCTTGGCCGTCTGGAGATAGGGAGATACCTTGTACTTTTAAAAATGTATTCATTTATTTTTTTTAAGAAATGCTATTCCGCTTACAGTTTCTGTCATGCATCATAGACGATGATCAAATGCTGTTCAAAAGGAACAAGATGATCAAAAGGAATATGTTTTTGCTTGAGAAATGGATCCAGGTTTCCCCCAGACGTCCTGTGGAAGGGATGCTGGCACAGTCCACCAGCAGCCCACTGTGTTTTTGTTTAAAAAGAAAAACAACAATCGCCCCACTGTTGCCAACCCAGTAGCTTTCTTGCTGCTTTAGACAAAAGAAATAAATAAATCAGTACCAGACAAAATTAAAATCTGCAGGTCAGGCCTGATTGGACAGAAAACTGCAATCGGTTCACCAGTAATGGTAAATGTTCACAATACTGCAGCGCTTTGACCTGCAGTACTTTGTTAGGAACCTGATCAGATCTCTTGTCTTGTGTGTTTCTGTCTCTCAGGTCTTTGGTCATGGGAAGAGAAACGGAGAGCCCACCTGGGCTCTTTTGCTCACAGTTGGGATTTGTGAGATTGGGATCCTTATTGCCTCTGTGGACCTCGTGGCCCCCATCCTCTCCATGTGCGCTGCTGGAAGTCGCCCACCGTCCCTTTCCTGCTGCTCGCTGTACCGCACATCACTAAACTCTCCATGTCGTTTGTGCTTCTAGGTTCTTCCTCATGTGCTATCTGTTTGTCAACCTGGCCTGTGCCGTTCAGACGCTGCTCCGGACTCCCAACTGGAGGCCGCGCTTCAAGTTCTACCACTGGTGAGAGACGAAGACACTCGGAGTACCGGGAAAACGTTTTGAATTCCACCTTTCCTCACATCCTGTCTTCCCAAATATCTTAGTTCTTTTCCCTCCTCTTGTCTTTCCTTCCTTTTACTCTCCATATTTTTGTCTCAAACTTTCCTCCTTTTCTTGCCTGTTGCATTCGTTCCTGTCTTTCTTCTCCTTCTGTCGTGCCCTTGTTTCCTTTCTTTCATTTTTCCATCGTGCTCTCACTTCCTCCGTTCCTTCTGACGTACCATTTATGTCCAATACCTGTATTTCCTTTTTTCCTGCTTCCTTCCCTTCCTGTCATCCTTTCTTTTTACATTTCACATGTCTTGTTCCATCCTTTGTTCCTTGTTTCCCCTAATCATTTATTTATCCTCTGAGCTCTCTGTCATATTTACAGCCAAACAGCTGTAGATGTATCTGTCTTAAACACACAGTTGGCTTTAGTATTTTGACCGTTAAAAAGAGTGCAAAGGATATAACGTTATGAAAGTGACACATTTTGACACGTTTATGTTTTTTTCCTGCAGGACTTTGTCCTTCTTAGGCATGAGTCTCTGTCTCTCCCTCATGTTCATCTGCTCCTGGTATTACGCCATTGGTGCCATTTTGATCGCTGGCTGTATTTATAAATACATCGAATACAGAGGGTGAGTTCAGAAGTTCGAGACCAAGAGATCATGTTAAAATCGCTATAAACAAGGATTTATTTTCTGATGTCGAAGTGGACCACAGGGACAGATTTGTTCTAACAGTGAAGCCTTTTCTTCATTAAGGCCCGACTGAATTATATCCAGAAAATATACACGTAGACTTTATTATGGGTCTTTAAGATTGTCCTGCAGTTCATTACAACATCAAAATAATTTAGAGATGAACATTTGAGTGGAGAGCTGATTCTTGCCTGTTGAATGCAGAGCTGTGAAGGAGTGGGGTGACGGGATCAGAGGTCTGTCCTTAAACGCAGCACGCTACGCTCTCATTCGCCTGGAGGAAGCGCCGCTGCATACCAAAAACTGGAGGTGGAGGATCACTCCAACTTTAATACCCAGATGCGTTTACGGTGTTTCTCTTCTGCTCAACAAATATTTAAACTTTTTTCTTTTTTTTTTTTTTCTTTTTTTTTGCAGACCACAGCTTTTGGTGTTGTGCAAACTGAACTCTGACCTGAAAGTGAAGCATCCCCATCTCCTGTCCTTCACCTCACAACTTAAAGCCGGCAAAGGACTCACCATCGTCGGCTCGGTCCTGGAGGGAACCTACATGACGCGCAAGGCGGACGCCATCGCTGGAGAGCAGGTGTGCCTCTTCTGCTCTGCATGCTGTAGCTTCTTATGTAAAAACTTTTTTTGTGTGTGTGTATGTGTGTCTACTTGGACCTCGTACTAGTCATTTTTTTTATACGCAAGTTGCTAATCCATTCAAACTCCTTGAACTTTTACGCATTTCGTCACATTTCAAAACAAAACATCAACATGCTGGATGGGAATATTTTCTTAATAAACATAAAAACTGAAATGTTTCTACTCCCCTTTTAATCTTATAGCCTTGGATAAAATCGAGAATACATATGAGTCTTCAGATAAATTATCAATTAATAAACATTATTATTAAACAGCAAATAATTGCATCTGTTCATAAATCCAGCTGTGCTGTGATGACCTTTTTGTTTAGAGAACATTAGTGAACAAATAGCATCACAACAGAAGGATCAGGGTTTACTGTCATTGCTAGAAAACGCATTTGTTAAACAATAACCAAAATCTAAACAGTGGCATGGTGAAAGAGAAACTTCTGGAAAGTGCATATTATTAAAAACAAACAGAACACAACACCCTTTGCTTCTGCAGTCATTAGTGTTGTGGGAATATAGACAATATATAGTTTAGTACAAGGAAAACAAAGAGAAAATTACAAACTTAAAACTGCAGTTAGCAGGAAAGATGGCTTTGAATAAAAATTCATATACTATTCAGATTCTTTGTTGTAAAAAGGAGAACAATTATTCACTGTTCTCAGTGGGTCTTTTGTATAAAATACTGATTCAAATACATCACCGTTTATGGTTGTAATATGACTGCGATGGGCTGGCGGCCTGCCCAGGGCGTACCCCGCCTCTCGCCCAAAACGTCTCGCTGGAGATGGGCACCAGCACCCGTCCCCACCCCACTAGGGACAAGGGTGTAAGAAGATGGATGGATGGGTTGTAATATGAAATAATGTGAAAAACAAGGAAAATAGATACTCCTTCTATGCACTGTAGCAGTAAACAAACGACTCCATGTCCAAGTCAGTTATAAATAGAATGAAGTATAAAAACTTGTTTGTTTTTAGCCATGAAATGTGGCCAAAACCTTCCTCCTCCTCCTCAGTCTCGCTCTCATTCATTGTGTTAACCGCAACATACAAAGTTTTCAGGAAATATGTGAGAGATGTGAGTGCAGTGGGAAACTTTGCATTCTGGCAGAATGCAAATTCTGCATTAAACTCAACCCGATTCACCACCCTGCCTCATCCGCAGGGCAACAGTGAGCAACAAAAGACGCATCCATTTTGTCTTTTGACTATCATGGCAGACAGTCTGCTCTTGGTGTGAAAAGCTCTCCGAGTCTAGAGATGCGGCAAGCTGTGTGAAATGTATTTAACAATTTCAGTGCAACTAAATAGAGACAATTGTTATACTTGGAAAAACTACGGTAAAAACTAATTCTCACAGATGATCACTCCATTCCTTGACCTGGATTTTATTTTCTCCCGCAGAACATGAAAGCAGCCATGGCTGCGGAGCGGACCAAGGGCTTCTCCCACGTCATTGTGTCGTCCAGCCTGCGAGACGGTTTCTCCATTCTGATCCAGTCAGCGGGACTGGGAGGAATGAAACACAACGCCGTCCTCATGGCTTGGCCCGCTGGCTGGAAGCAGGCCAGAGACTCCCTGGCTCAAAGGAACTTCATAGGTAAACCGCACAGAAGTGCAGTTCATCTTATTTTTGAATTTTTATTCGGAGGAGCAAGTGTTACAGACCCATTCTGCTTTGTGTTTAGAGAAAACACAATCAAGAGTCTTGAGTTTGCCAGAATCAAAGTCGGGATACTTTCTGAAACATGATGGTATTTTTATGTGACAGATATATTTTTACTCCAGGGGGGATTAGTGGTTTTACATTTTTGTCCAGTTTGACCAGATACTGAAAAACGTTTCCCTTCGGCCTTTAACAGAGAACGATAACTTCTCTAGAGTCGAAGGCTACGTTCACAAATACTGATAAAGTACATTGAAGTTTGTGGTTCAGATCGGAAGTCACCCACATCCGATTTTTTTGTCAAATTGGATTTTTTTTGCAATATATATGCGATCTGTATGTGATCTACAGTGTGAACTTCAAACGACCTGAAAGTGTCCCGCATGCGCAGCAGGGGGCGCAGTAACGTCACGCGTAGCGAGCGTGCTCAGTGTAAACATGGATGCTAACGGTGGAGCATAGCTTGCGATTTTGAAGTTGTTGTCCGACCGGAGCAGCACTTTAACAACTTAATCCTCATCATAGTCTGTCATGGCTGTTGTTTTTCTTCCCGCTTGCACATATCAGGACAGAATAGTAAAGTTTGTCGAGTATCGGTGAGATCTGCCTGTTCAGCTTCAGCTCACATTTGAAAAGGTCGGCTACATGTCGGATTTCCAAGTGGCCTAAATGGCTTTAACGCAAAAAAAAAAAAAAAAAACATCGTAATTTGGTCCCTTTGGTCTGCAGTGTGAACACAACCTAAACGTCCTGTACAATTTTTGAACCATTCATCAAAAGCAGGCGCTTCGGTTTATGCAATGAGTGCAGCAGATATTTAGCCGTGTAGCAACTTGAGGCTCGTTTTAAACATGTTCCTCTACATCCAGAGACGGTGAGAGAGACGACGGAAGCCCACCAGGCTCTGCTGGTCGCGAAGAACATCGACCGTTTCCCCGACAACCACGAGCGTCTGAAGGAGGGCGCGATTGACGTGTGGTGGATCGTCCACGACGGCGGGCTTCTCATGCTGCTGCCCTTCCTGCTGATGCAGCACAAGGTGTGTGTGTGTGTGTGTGTGTGTGTGTGTGTGTGCTCGCCACAGGTTGTGTGTGTTTTGCGACCCGTTCAGCTGCATGACGCTCATCTGCCATCAGCAGTTTCTCACACAGGTGTTTTTTTTTTTTTTTTTTTTTTTTTTTTTTTTTGTAGGTGTGGAGGAAATGCAAAATGCGAATCTTCACGGTGGCGCAGCTGGACGACAACTCCATCCAGATGAAAAAGGACCTGCAGGTGTTTCTGTACCAGCTGCGCCTGGACGCAGAGGTGGAGGTGGTGGAGATGGTGAGACGACACGGCGCCATCCAAACTGCCCCTCTAGTCAACTTAGCATTGCAGCAGCAGCAGCTTCACACTGATGATGCCGCTGGTTGCCTTGCATCCTGAATCTGAAGGTGCTCCGTATGTTTTCCGCAGCATGACAGTGACATCTCGGCGTTCACTTACGAGAGGACTCTGAAGATGGAGCAGAGGTCCCAAATGCTGAAAGAGATGCACCTGTCCCGCACCGAGAGGGAGAGAGAGGTATGATCGCACAGGCAATACAAACTACTAAAGTCTACCAACATAAGCAGTAAATCATCCATTATTCATTTATATTTGATGCATCTTTTATACATTGTAGTATCTCAGGCCTCCAGACTTGCTTTTTGTACTGGTTGCAGTGGTTTGCCTATACTTTTCATCTCAAAGCACCAACACAACGAGCAGGTGCATCAGAAATACTCACAACAGTTTGTTACACTTTAAAGTAAGTTTAATGTAGAAAAGGTAAGTGGTGCAACATGATTGTTTTGTATTGAAAAGTAAAAATACTGTCCATATCAGAGATAATCTGTATTTTCCTCTATTCTGTTTTGTATCTAAAACAGGTCTGTGTTAGGAAGGAGACTTTGTGTCTAACTGCCGGTATAGAAAAGGTTAAATAAAAAGAAATTAAAACATAGATTTGCAAAGGTCAATTTTTTATATATATTTATTATTATTATATTTATCAGCTTTTTATTTTATAGAGTTAAACAAAACAACATCACAATACTGCCAGTTAGAGAAAGAAAAGGAAAAACCAAGATAAACAAAGCAAAGGTCATATTTTTAAGATTATTGTCATTTCACATTAAAATACATTGTGGGATCCTTTACATTTGGTAATATTTTCACAATTTACAAGGGGTCCAATGAATAAATATAACGGCCCCCAGGGTGCCTGAAGTCTGTTGCTCGTTTCTAGCTTTTTTTTTTTTAAATAAAATAAATATTTGAATAAAATATTTATTTATTGTGAAAGTTTAAAGGAAGCTGTATCTCTGGTCATTTAGCTGTTTCAGGTTAAAAAAAAAGCGTCGGTATTATTTTTCACTGTTATAACAAACAGACTCTTGACCATAATGCCACATCCAGAATGATCATAATTTGAGCCGAGAAATCAGGCTTTTCTAAAGTTTCCCAAATTTTTCAGGCTAGTCAGAGCAAAACCAGGGAAGCGACAGGCGGAAGTTGAAGATTTAACTTGAGTTCCGTCTTCCTTGGCTTTGGACGGACGGAAATGCCAGCCACTCCACTGCAACCAAGACAAAAACACGTTTGAGGCCCGTTAGTCGTACATCCCAAACAAGCGATGCATCAGCGTTCTCCCATCTCTGCTCTGCTGTCCTTGACTTTTGAACTCCGTCAGTAACGTTATGTTTTCAATTGACCATGGGCTCAGATTCAGAGCATCACAGATGTGTCGCGTGGCTCCATTAAGAGGAGGAAGTTGCCTGTCGTTGACTCGCCGCTCAACACTCAGAGCATTCCAGAGGATGAGGTAGCCAAGCTAACTAAGCAGCTTGTCGCAGCCATCCGTTGTGTCATCCTTCCACTCATTTCTCCGTTCTTCCTCACCAACGTAATCCAGTCATTCCAGCTGCAGGGCTTTGACAAGGGTGTGCCAGCAGAAGCTGAGTGCAGTAGTTTCAGGTTCCTGCTGGTTTTGGATGATCTTCTAATCAAAAAAAAAAAAAAAAAAATAAGATGATCGTTCTATATCTGCTTTCTCTCATCCGTTTGTGTTTTTCATTCTTAAATTTTCAGGCTCTACTCTGGTGGTTTTTAAACTGTGGGTCTTTCACCCCTAAAAGAGGCCAGATGTTATGACAGAGACCTTTCCTGGTATTGTTTAGTGATACAATCCAGTGTTTTGGTGATATTGTCAACACATCAGCGTTTCCTTGGTGACGGGATGAGGGGCAGAGTGAATCTGAAATTTGATTTCATGGAGACAATTTAGAAACATTGAGTTTCAGTAATGTTATCTGGATTTTTTTTTTTGTTTAAATTAAGCTTATTGTTCTTAAAAAAATAACATTTAGTTTTACTTCTAGTTTTTCTTGGAGATGCCAACTTTTACTCTGTTTTAAGAAAGCAGGGTTCCTGCTTGATTCTTGATTCTTAAAAAACAAACACAAAAACTTAAGATTTTTGACATAACAAAAACCTAAGTGATTTTAAAATAATATTTTGAACTGAATTATTTTTAAAGTTAAACCTTCCACAAGGGTTGCTTGGACTAGAAGGTTTGGGATCCGCTGCTCTATCTAAAACAGAAAGCTGCCACTAGAGGAGGACAAAGCAACTTTAAACATGGACGACGATCCCAGCCGTAGTTACTCTTTCTGTTGGCTGTTGCCATTTAATTTTAGTTGTAGCATTAAATTTAAAAAAATGCTTATTGAGGAGAATATTTTACATTTTTGTTCTCCCTGCTCCAGCCAAATGTGCTGATTTTGGATGATTAGTCAGGCTATCTGCTCAGGTGCCATCCCACCGTTGGATCCTTTGTAAAGAAATGGTGCACAGAAAATTTTACAGTTCATTCTCACAAAATATATGGGGACTGTGGATGCTGTGAATCTGTGGGGTTCAGTCTAATACTTAATTCACGGGGGCACACTAAGACGTTTGACCTTCTCCCCTCTTTACCACAATCAATGTGTTTGGGTTCTATACTCAACGACTTTTGTCCATCTTCATCAAACCTGCTTCACACCTGACTCCTCCTATAACAGATTTTACACACATATCCTGATGGTGTTTTTTTTTTTTTTTTTTTTTTTTTTTTTTTTTTTTTTTGTTTTTTTTTTTTTTATTTAATGAAAATTTTTTATAAAACATCATTTTATGAT